GATACTAATAAGTTACCTGTTAGCACTTCAGCTGTCGCCAAATGCCATTTAGCGCTTGTCTGCATATAGAATAGAAAACAAAATTATATGCGATTGACGTAAATTCTGATACTTGTCAGTGTCATCCCCATACATTTTGATATCTACTCTCTCTGTACACAAGCGCTAAAGAGGCGTTTGGCTGAAGGCACGGGTAACTTATGTCATTCTGCAATGATGACAGTAGACATGTTAAAACAATTATCTTTTGTTAAGATTTTAAAAGTCCTCCCAAAGTACTCCCATCAATTTATTGATGAATACCTAAGTTTGAAATAAAAAATTGGTAACTTCTTTTTACCCTTCTCTCCAATTAAACAAAAGAGAACTATGGAAAAACAAATGGTATTGTCTGTCACACACAAAAGATATCTTTATGTGGTACGAGATTACGTCATCTTTTCTTTCTTTCTTCTGTATTTACTCTCCTTCACCATCAAATTCTGCATTCATACAATAATGTTGCGAATTTCGAAAAAGTATCAGCTTTTGACAAGTTTTGACATCCAACAATCGCATCAGTAGAGGGCGCTAGCTTCACTAAAGAGTCTATACTTATATAAATAGGTATACGTACATTAAATGACGTAGCATCGCATACGTGCAGGCACTCAATAATATGTTAATGCCTCGACAAGTCCTCTCAGGTATGTAGGGCAGGATTCCAACCACCAACAATACAGCCCGCTCATCAAGCTACCCTAATCTGGGATTTTTTCAATGGATTTACGATCTTTGTGATTTGATATTAAGTTGAAAATGTATTGAAGAATTTTGATGGAATAGGGATAGTTTCATGTGCTTGTGGTTGTACTATGACGGTATGATCCACAATGAGTGCTTACTTACATGGTTTGTATTGTAGTTCTACTTTATCTAATGTGATGGTCTCTGTGTAGGACTCTTGAGTGGCTAAGGCTACTCACTCTTTATTTATAATCTGTGTCTTTTGTTGTTTCCTTTTTTTTACTTTCGTTTTATTTAATAGTTTAGTTGTAGATAATTATTAATACCCAGATTACACTTGGATTTTTTCTGCATCTTATTCTTTCTTGAATTTCAAATCAAAGAAAATTCACAAAAGAGCTCTCAAAACGAGGCCCTGGGATTGTATTTGAAGACCTACACGAAGTCGTTTATTTTTATAAATAGTCTTAAAAGCTTTGTAAATTAATATAAATATTTTATATAGGGAAGTCTCCTTGCCCTAGCTCCTCCCTCCTTGGAATACCCTTAAAAATGACCTTGATTATAACACCTCAATAGAATCTAGACTAAATTGTAACCATATAAACATTGATGCAAGCAAAGTAACATGCGGTTGGTGCACTGGTTGTGAAATCGGTTGCCGCGCAACGTGTCGCGGGTTCGATTCGCGCACGGAACAACTCTTTGTGAGATCCACAAATTGTTGTTCCGGGTCTGAGTGTCATGTGTATGTGAACTTGTATGTTTATAAACGCACCCACGACACAGGAGAGAATACTGGTGTTTTTTTTAAGGAGGGGGAGTGTCAGACTCTTTCTGACTAAAAACCACCCCGTTCCTACTCCTGCACGTCGAGCCGGAGCCCCGGTAACCGGTTAGGTTCTCCGCGACAAAATACTGGTGTGGGGCAACGATTTCTTTAAAAAAACATGTTAAAGCAAGTTCACAATCAATTGGAAAACTAGTTCATAGTATTACCAGCACATTTTTTCAGTGTGCTGGATATAAGGAATCGCGTGGTCGGCTAAAGGGAACGAACGTGCCTAATAAGAATTGTGAGCATGCAATCGCGTTCCGAATGCGATGCCTATTGGAGCGTGTTCTGAAATGTGTTGGGCCTTTCGTTTGGTGGGTATTCAGTTTATACAACTATCTAAAATTTGGAAGTACCCATATTTAATATTTTTAATTTAAGTATTGGCTTTACGGGATATTGATAGACTGTTGTGATTGTCCAGAAAAATGAATATGTTAGCTATGTAGTTGTATATCCTACGATGCTCAGGAGATATTAAAATTGCGGATAGGTTTTCTTTTCATTTAAAAAAAAACTTTGCCCCACTCTAGGATTTTCTCCTGTGCTGTGGGTGCTTTTACAAACATACAAGTTCACATACACATGACACCCAGACCCGGAACAACAATTTGAGGATCACACAAAGAGTTGCTGCGAGCGGGAATCAAACTCGCTGGATGTTGCACGGCAGCTGCTTGCCCAGCCACCGCGTCAACCGTGCAGTTACTATTGAAGTTCTCAGAATAGAGTCTGAGAGAGAGTAAGAATTGTATCCTGAGTTTAGAATTATTTCGATGCTATAGGAATGCGACCTCTTGATTTTTTTAAGCCTGTCGAGACGCCTCGCCTCGCCTCGCCTGGGCGAGACGGGAGGGAGTGTCAGACTCTTACTGACTAAAAACCACCCCGTTCCTACTCCTGCACTTCGAGCCGGAGCTCCGGTAACCCGTTAAGTTCTCAGCGGCTTCGTATCGGCATCAGCCCTATTGGGCTCCATCTGTTGTGACGACCACTTGATTAGGGACATTAGCCACATAGATTTAGATCTAAATATTATACATGTCTAAAATTATTCCCTGGAATCGAACCCAATCTTTTTATTAGAAAATAATATATTTATCCAAATACTTATCTATGTATGTATGTGCGTCGTGAGTATGACGTTACCGACGCAGAGTAATCAACTTGCAATCGACTTCTAATAACTAGGCTGTATAGGTACATGCCATTGCCCGCGCTTTTTTTAATGACAATGCGGTTACAAAATGGCGGCCCTATTCCACCTGTTTGCTAACAGTTCATGGTTGTTGTCTATTGTCGGTTTTATTATGCGCTTTTACAATTTACAATGTCGGTTTTTTATAATTTTTTTTTATGTTAAATGTAACATTGTTTAGTACACGTGTCGTATTTTAATTATTTCATCAATTTACTTACGCGTACCTCGAGTTTATTCATTGGGCAAAGCTATAGGTATACTTGTTTTACAAAATACCTACAATAACTAGGTATCTAGTAATGTCATCATGGTCATCATCATCATCATCATTATGATTAAAGAATCCGTGAAAGTCCACTGGTATCCCGGCGCCTCCTCTACAGGAATTGGGCACTTGTGTCAATCAAAAATAAATAATTTTGACTGTTCAATACAATAAAATATTACAAAACAATCACACTTTCATTAATCGATTTTATGACTAACTTAATTTTAGTATTTTTCCAGCAAATTTTAAGAAATAAGTATGCTGTTTGACGCTAAAAAACGTGGCGTCACAATACACAATCTCATACAAAATTCATAGAAAACTGTTGTTTTCGATAGTTCGAAAAACGTATTGAATTTGACTAGTTGGCAAGTACCTAATTGTCATGGACCATGCCTGGCAGAAAGGCAAGTTATTCTCTGCTAGAGTCTGGCAAACGAAAGTAGAGACTGAAAAAGCCCGGCAAATTTTTAAAAATATCAGTATAGCAACCCAAAAATTAGTATATCATACCTGGAGTAACCAGACGTGAAGACGAAACAAACAAACAAATTATAATAAAGTATCAAATTAGGTTACTCCTAGGAATAGATTTCTCTATTTCATGGTTTCTGCCAATCTTTGAACGCATGCATTTTGTGATTATTGAAATAAAATATAAATTGAGAAGTTTCTATATTTTTGCTTACACACGTTGGGGGCCCTCGTAGTCCGGGGCTCCATATAATTGAAACGGCAGATACGGCGCTAGCTACGCCCCTGCGTACTATAATGTTATAAATGCGAAGTACCATATTTGTTTTTTTGGTTTGTTACTCAATAGCGCCAAAACAGCTAAATGAAGGGATCGGCTTGCAATTTAGAACAGGGGTATATTATAATCTTTTTTTTTGAGGGTGGAAAATCATCCAATGACTTCTCCCGCCCGGGTGAGGCGAGAGGGAGTGTCAGACTCTTACTGACTAAAAACCACCCCGTTCCTACTCCTACACTTCGAGCCAGAGTCCCGGCAACCCGTTAAGTCTTCCGCGACTCCGTATCGGGGTATATTATAGTCTGGAAAGACAACTTAGCTACTTATTATACCACAAGAATGAAAGTGAAGACGCGTTCAAAAGTTTATTATTACATAAGGCGTGTTCCCATGACCCCATAAGAGACATTTTAATGCGTATATAAGTAAATGAAATGGGACAAAAGCAAACATCTTTATCTTAAGTACTAGAATAGGAAATTCTATAGCTTTGTTAGTCCAGACTAGACGTCATTATAAACAGACAGTGGGATATCATTAAGCTTTGTACAACCTTCTTGGTGGTCAAAGAGATTTCACTTACTATGTCTAGAGTACCAGTGAAGTACTTTTTAACCTGGTACCTGATTAATTTTAAACTAAAATACTTATATCTCCTTTTATTTTTTTTCTCTCATCTAGTTGTTTACATAACATCATGCCTCTTATCCCGAAGAGGTAGGCGGATGTGCACATTACGGCAATTATGCCACTGTACAATGTAACACCCACTTTTCACTATTTATGTAACGAGTCCCACGTAATAAGAGTGAGCCTATTGCCACATACCGGGCACAATTCCAGACTCCGTGCTACTACTGAGAATTATTTAAAAACCCAGTAACACTTTGCTCGACCCGGGAATCGAACCCGAAACCCCTTGCACTTGTTACCACTCGGCAATTGAGGTAGGTAGTCAGTTGTTTAGTATTAATTACTACATAGTACAAAACAAAATCGCCATTCGCCGTCTGTCTGTATGCTTAGATCTTTAAAACTACGCAACGGATTTTGATGCGGTTTTTTTATTAGATAGAGTGAATCTTAAGGAAGATTTTATGTCTATATCTCCATGCGCCCGTGTGAAGCCAGGGCGGGTCGCTAGTTACCAATAAAACTCTTTAAATATACTAAAAAACTGACAGAGTGCTTATAAAATTTATCTTCTAATTTCCAGGATGAAAAGTCAGCCGCATCTGCCCCATATTTCTGATGAGTACGTGATCCTGTTCCTGCACTCCAACTACTACAAGGTTAAAGAGACTAAAGACACCATAGAATGCTACTTCACCTTGAGAGCAAACACACCAGACTTGTTCACCAACCGCGACCCCTTCGGGCCGAAGAACAAAGCTATTTTGGACATCACGTAAGTCATTTGTTCCTATTCTTTTTGTTTCCCAATTTTCTTTTTTTTATGGCATAAGCCGGTAAACGAGCAGACGGATCACCTGATGGTAAGCAATTGGTGTCGCACATGGACACCTGGAACACCAGAGGCGTTACAAGTGTCTTACCGGCCTTTTGGGGATTAGGAGATTAAGGATCGTTGGGGATTCAGGAATTGGGCCTCCGGTAACCTCACTCACACGACGAAACACAACGCAAGCGTTGCTTCACGTCGGTTTTCTGTGAGGCCGTGGTATCACTATAAGAAGGTAGACTATAAGAATGTAAGCGCATACTGCTAAGAGAAATCGCGTAAACAGAAACTTCTGTCTAAACATCTAGCGAATGTTAAATTAAGTTTTAATTAGTTTAATGAAGTAACTAAACATTTGCGTTCCACATTGTCCAGTAATTCGGTCAGTGAGTGCACTACCGTGGATAATATATTGCAATTGGTTAAATGACTTACTTAGTTCAAGTACCAGTGCCTATTACGTCAGTAATTTAAAAGTATAACAATGCAGGTCATATCGTGTACTTTGAAATTAACATACAATATAGTTTACGTTATTTTATTTGATGATTCGTTGTTTTATTGATAGATTATACAATACCTCGTTGGCCGAGTGGTCGCAAGTGCGACTGTTGTAAGGGTCTCGGGTTCAATTTCCGTGTCGTGCAAAGTATTACTGGGTTTTATTAATAAATTCTCTAGAATTGTGCTCGGTATATGGCAATAGGCTCATCCCGTATTACATAGGACTCATTTAAAATAAATAGTGATAAGTGGATGTTTCATTGTACAGTGACATTAAGTGCCGTAATGTACACCTCTACCTACCCCTTCGACGATAAAAGGCGTGATGTTATGTTATGTTATTTTTATTTTTATAATATCATGTGTGATTTCTTCAGTACTTGCGTCTGTTTATAAATAGACCATTCCCAAAAATGTTTTAATAGTGACTAAGATCGAATACATCTGTGTCAATTATATCTGTTATATGTATCCTTAATTATAAGTTAAGGCAGATTTACATAGGGTCAGTAACTGCCACCGAAACGCAGCATTGACCCAAAAAAAAAATATGTAAATTAATTTGAAATAGGTATAGCTATATTATAATATAGCTGCATGAAGTCAGCGTTGACTTGAACCCATATGAATAATTTGTGCAGCGCTGACTAATATCGTTTTTTTACATAACATAACATCAGGCCTTTTATCTCCGAAGGAGTAGGCAGTGGTGCACATTACAGCACTAATGTTACTGTAGTTTGTTATGTTACTGTACTTTTCACTATTTATGTTATGAGTCCCATGTAATAGGGGGTGAGCCTATTGCCATATACCGGGCACATTTCCAGACTTCGTGTTACTACTGAGGTTTTTTTTAAATAAATAACTTGTATTTCTCCACGGACTTGTGTCCTTGCCCTTGTCATATTACAGGTACATTGTTTTCATGGTATAATTGTTATAAAAATCTTACATGCTACGCTAACCACTAATATCACTACACAAAGTACGTTATGTTGTTACCTAATTATTATAATCTTACTAGCGGACCCGACAGACGTTGTCCCGCATATAATAGAATAATAATAATATAATAATAGCTATAGATAAATAACCTACAAACTGTCTGCAGCGCCAACTGCCGGGTTGATTTGTGAATCTAAACCATCCAGGGCACCACTCAAACGCATACAGAAAAATTCATTTAAATCGGTCTAGCCGTTTAGGAGGAGTTCAATGACATACACACGTACAGCAGAATTATATATATAAAGATTATCTTACATTAACCCTACTGGATCAGCCCAACTAGTATCGTTTTGAGGAAGTATGTTCTTTAGTGTGATGTTACCACTAGTATTTTATGGCTTATCCAGTAAACGAGCAGACGGATCACCTGATGGTAAGCAATCGGCGTCGCCCATGGACACCTGGAACACAAGTGCGTTACCGGGCTTTTGGGGACTTAGGAGTTTGAGGATCGTTGGGGATTCAGGAATTGGGGAGATTGCGGAAGGGGAGGGTAATTGGGCATCCGGTAACCTCACTTACACGATGAAACACAACGCAAGCGTTGCTTCACTTCAGTTTTCTGTGAGGCCGTGGTATCACTCCGGTCAAGCCGGCCCATTTGTGCCTGAAGTATGGCTCTCCCACACTTCCCCATCTGTCTTTAGGATCTACACTGACAATTGCTTTAGCACAAAAGATGCAACCGCTAATGTAGTATAGAAATCAGTAATCAAGGTCATACCAGTCGTTAGAATCAAAAGCTATTCTCTCCATATCAGATTTCCAGCCACTATAGAAAGCGATGGGCATTCAGCTTGGTATCTTGTGTACCTATCTCCTCATTATATCTGTCTATTCAACAGTTTCATTTGTCTCTGTTAGTTAAAGGTATTTAAACATTATGTTTGTAGATGAGGGTTGTATGGGAGTCTTGTATTGCGTTATTCAGGCTTTTGGTGTTATAAAACTAGCTTTTACCCGCGGCTTCGCTCGCGTCACAAAAGGATAAAAAGCCAATGTGACATATACCAATACACACAGCGCCATCTATACCAATACTTTTGTTTTCCCTCGGGAATATCAAATTTTCCCGGGATAAAAAGTACCCTATTATTTAATCCGGATTTCTAACTATACATCTGCAAAAATTCAAAGCAATCGGTATAGTAGTTACGGCGTTAAAGTGGAACAAACAAACAAACTCACTTTCCGATTAATTATATATAAATAAGGAAGTAAGGATATTCATCGCGTATGCTTTGTATTTGGTATTAGTGGCTAAAAGGACGGTGGGTAACTTCACTTTTTTGGTCTTGTCATGATTTTCAAAAACCTAACATCGACGAAGATAAAACTAAGGTTTACAATACACGAAATTATTTTTTCTTTTATAAAAACGTTGCCCCACACTAGGATTGTCTCCTGTGTCGTGGGTGCGTTTACAAACATACAAGTTCACATACATATGACACCTAGACCCGAAACAACAATTTGTGGATTACACAAAGAGTTGTTCCGTGCGGGTATCGAAACCGTGACACGTTGCGCGGCAGCCGGTTGCCCAGCCACAGCACCAACCGTGATGTATTGTACCAGTAGTGTACCAACAGTGTAGTATATTATAATAACAGCTTCTGTCACCGGTTTCGCCCGCATTCTCGAGAGATAAAAAGTGGTATATATGTTATCCCAGACCATACTCTACCCTTGTTCCAAATGTCATGTACATCCGATCAGTAGTTTTTACGTGATATACACACAAATACGCCATCAGTATTTTTTGCTATTATGATCGAGAAGCACTCCTTTCGCCTGCTATACAGGATTGTCCTACCTAATGCATTTAACATTGTGGCGACAATTGTACGTATTTACGATATATTTTTGTATTTCGCATTTTTGGATTATGAATAAAGTTTAAAGTTTAAGTTAATAAAGGAGTCCAAACAAAGTATTAGTAGTTGTACTTAAAACTCGCTACACATTATCGTAGTTTTAATTAAACGTGCGAAGTCGAAGGTCATGGAAATCACTTACGAAGGCCCGGTTTCCCTGACGACTTAAAGGATATTATGCTTATTATATTAATAGCTCATTATAATTTCCACTTCCAGGCACATGGTGGGCCTTCCAAACAAAACTGCAGAAGGTTACAATGTCCTGCTGTACCGGCTGGCAGAGTTTGACTATAGTAAGCTGAACTTCGCTGATGCCGTCCGTGTGTTCTGCATGTTTAACGATGTCAAGCTGTCAGAAGACAGGTTGTCTGAAGGCTACATCGTCATCTTCGATATGAAGGGCTGCAGCCTCGGTCACCTGACTAGGGTGACGCTTCCTGCGCTGAGAGCCTTTATGCATTATATTCAGGTTGGTAGTCTTTGCTTTATTTAAAGTACTTGTACCGTCTACCGTTTTAAGTTGTTTTGAATTTGAAGTTGTGCGAATCAGAGTGCCAACTGGGATGATGACAGGGTATGAAAATTAAAAATCTAGGTGGTCCGTAAGTTAGGTAATTAAAAAATATTAGTCAAGTATTTTTTTTACTTATATAATACTTAGATAAAACGAATCAAAGTTTAGGAGTGGGGGCTAAAACGTCATTTCTACGTATAAAATGTACATTTTGATTTTATACCCTGTCATCATCCCAATTCCACCCTGTATCGTTCATCATCATAAGTTTGATCGAGGAGAAGCACTCGTTGTATCTAATGACATTGTTTATTCTTTTGCTATAGTAACATTTAGTCTACTTCCGTTTAAATATAATAATTTCCGAAATCTTTCTATTCTTCCAGAACGCCCACCCTTGCCGTCTAAAGAAGATCCACGTGGTCCACACAGTCTCCTTCATCAACCAAGTCATGTGCCTTGTAAAACCGCTCATCCATTCCAATCTCCTCAACCTGCTGAACTTCTCCTCCGAAGGACCAGAGTCTGTAGTAGATAAAGAACTCCTGCCCGAAGACTTTGGAGGACCTTTGCCGCCAGTGAAGCAGCTACATGAAGAACAGAGGAAAAATATGGAGGAGAATTATAGAGAGTGGCTGACTGAGACTGAGATCTTCAAGGCTGATGAGAAGAAGAGGATTAAGAAGCCTAGTAAAGGTATGTTCGCCAGCTTCACCAGTAGTTTCAAAAGCTTGGACATTGACTGATAGGTTTATACATGTCGCGCTAGGGACCTGAGAGTTTCATTTCACTTGTTTCTAGAATGTTCTGTTAGTGGCTAGCAGGTCAAGCTACACCAATCTGTTATCGGATTTTCGACTGTATATCAAAACAATTAAGTTGAAAAAAGAATTGGTAGGGTGTAGTTTGACCTGCTGGTTACTGTATTAATTTATCTTTAAGTATTGTATAAGACTTTGTGGACGCTCAGTGGTTGTTGTATCTGCCCTATTTATTTTCAGTCTTATTGTGTTACGTCTTTAATGACTTTAACTGATTTTAATCCAAAATATCGGTATCTTTTTTGACTTAATCTCTATAGGAATATCAAAAATGTATCTTAAAGTAATTGGATTATGGTTGGTTATTGAAATCGCAATTAGAAACATTTGCAACGCATTCTGATGAATTTGCATTTTAAATGTCGTTCTGTCTTTTTCATTGCTATGGATTTTGATAGAGACAGAATGTCTAGTTATGAAATCGAATGCTTTGCAATTTTTGTAGAAAAAAAAAGCTTCATAGAATGAACTTTCAAATACAAACTGTCGTGTTCGATAGAGTTTGTAATATTCTTGTACCTATGTAATATTATCAAATTTGTATTTTTTTAAATATTTTTTTTAATGGTAAGTAAGTATTGTAGAATTTGAGTCATAGATAAAATTGATTTTAATACTCTGTGCCTTTAGCCAAACGCCACTTTAGCGCTTGTCTACAGAGAGAGTAGAAATCAAAATGTATGGGGATGACACTGACAAGTGTCCAAATTTACGTCAATTTCATATAATTCGGTTTTCTATTCTACACGTAGACAAGCGCTAAATGGCATTAGGCTACAGCTGTTGGTTTTTTTGACGAATTTCTTTGTTTGTAATATCCTCCATTTTATGTACCTATATTTTTATTAAGTTACAGGTTGTGATTAAAACTTGTACGCTTTTAGTATTAAAATGACTCATTTTGGACCATTTTGTATGTTTTTAGACAATTAACGTTTTTTATTGTATTATAATTATTTTCTTTGCTCAATTTTTGGACATATTATATTTTTGTATTTAATTATGTATTGAATATCGATAAAAGTGTGGTTTTGGGTTCGTGTGATGTATAAAAAAATATTTTTGAAAACATTTTGACACGTAAAACGTGAATTTTTGTCAAAAGTTACCATATTTTTGTAAATTTTCATACGATTAGGCACTGCTTTGTATATATTTAGGCGTTTCCTTATTTCTGCTAAGTTTTGAAAACTATACTATAGTTGTTTCTTGACTCGAGAAAAAATAATATGATATAAAATTTTACCGTAGCAATTTTTTATGAATTTCTATTTTTTATTGTTGCATTATAAATATCAATGTGTTACAATATTATGCTTATACGTAACAAGCCAAATCGTTATATTTTTATAGGTATACATATTGTAAATAGTCAAATATAATTTTACTATCGATTTTGTTTTTTAATTAACCCCTTTTCCCCGATTTCTCCCGAGCGTTCGGCGCGTCGCGTTCCGCGCGCGCCTCAAAGAACCATCAGACTACCACAGATGGGGCCCAATAGGGCGGATGCCGATACGGAGTTTGATGCCGATGCGGAGAATCTAACGGGTTACCGGGGCTCCGGTTCGAAGTGCAAGCGTAGGAATGGGGTGGTTTTTAGTCAGTAAGAGTCTGACACTCCCTCCCGCCTCACCCAGGCGGGAGCAGTCATTCGATGATTTTCCCCCTTAACGAAACCAGCAGTCCTTGTCCAGCAGTCGCACTTGCGACAACTCGGCCAACGAGGCAGGGTAATATTTCTTAGGATTTCATAAATACAAAGGAGCTAGACTATTTAGACGGCCTGGCGCCCCCTCATTAGTATACTAGAGAAGTAGAGACCGACAAACAGGGTGGTTTTTTAGTACACCAAGAAACCCGGGTTTCCCTTATCACAAAAAAGGTCATGCTTATGACTCATAAGATTAATCGTCCAGCAACCTGGATGGGGTTTACCGTGGTCTCTGACTCACGTCGAAGTTTGTTAAATGTCCTAATTAAAGAAATAGTTAGTCATATTTTACCATTATGATTTTTCGTTTGAATAGATATTAAACGATAAATTATTATGTTTTCGGCTTACTCACGTAATAATTTGACGAGGAACTCGACTAGTTCAAGCCATGCTAGAGGCTCATATTCATGAGCAGCATTTCGCGACCCGCGACGCGGCGACTGTCGCGCTGCTACTGGCTACTCGAGTATGCCGAAAACATAATAATTTATTTAGTATGTCTCACGAAAGTTACAATACAAAGATATTAAACGAGTTAAAAAATATCAGATGTTTCCCAAAAATAACTACATAAGTTATTACTTCATAAGTTCACGGTTTCATAAAAATTTGGTGTAGTCTTAAACTTCCTACCCTGCTTGTAATTATTTACAACATAACATAACACCACGCCTTTTATCCCCGAAGGGGTAGGCAGAGGTGCACATTATGCCACTGTGCAATGTACTTAACACCCACTTTTCACTATTTATGTTATGTATATACCGGGCACATTTCCAGACTCCGTGCTACTACTGAGATTTTTTTAATAAGTCCAATAATACTTTGCCCGACCCGGGAATCGAACCCGAGACCCCTTGCCCGGCAGTCGCAATTGCGACCATTCGGCCAACGAGGTAGTCGTAGAAGTCGTAGCAGACATAAATTTACGGTTTCATAAAAATTAGGTGTAGTCTTAAACTTCCTACCCTGCCAGTAATTTCATTATTTCTGATAATATACCAGTCAACATTATAATTATCAGTCGAGGTCAAACTGAATGCGAGAACCAATAAAAACAATATCAATGATAAATCAAAACAATAACTTGATTCCCGGAAAACAATAAATCGAGACAGAAGAGCTTATTAATTATTTATCATTCGATTCGATCCGATAAACCAATTTGATCAACGTCATTCATTCACTAAACTAAACGGACCAAACAATGCAACGGTACTGGCTGGCCATACAGAATATCATTCGAAATATTTATAAAAGAATTGTTTTAATTCTCACATGTTCGAAATTTAAATTTAAAAGTAAAACATTCGAATGTGACACGTTGCCAAGTAATTGGAGGGAAAAATCGGTTGGTGATAAACATGGTTTTGAGAAAAATAGCGTTTTTTATATTGATTTGGATTACGATGGTATACTTAGAAGTCATAGTGTCCATAGTTTTAATAATGAATGTCTTAGTTTTGTAAAAGATGATCAAAGTGATTTGGCAGAAGAAGAATTTCCAGCCACAGATGGTATTGGACATAGGTGCCAGTGCAGAGCTACAGCAGTAAGTACCAAAATATTAATGATTAACGTGTTTTTAACCAATTTTCCAAAGACGAGGAGGTTAACAATATGTTTTTTTGAGATTCACTAAAATCTCGCGACGTCTTAAGAAAAATCAGTATCGACACGATGTATTTACCATTTAACAAATATGGCGTCTAAATCGTTAAACGTTCTTAATTCGGAATACAAATGCCCGCACTTGAAATTTAAAAAGAGAGTCCTTGAATTGAAATAATACGCATCGCCAACTGTCGTATTCAATTTTCAATCGTATGACTATATCGGACAGCCACAAAATTGCATCAGTACATGAAAAATCCTTTTAAGTTGATATTCAAATGTCATATGTCGAGCAATGATCGGGCGATATAAATTGGTCGTTGTCAAAACCTTCATTACGATATAGACAGCGTCCGAGTGAGTGATAGCCAAATAATGAACTTGCTCGAGAAATATACGACGCAGGGATGGGCAGAAGGTTCAATGGTCTTGGGGGCTGTTTTCAGGGGTGGTGGTCTAATGATACGTGACATTCAGTGGATGTGATAGTCAGGTGATTGATTACTACTTTTCAGCATTTGCGCTTTGTTTTGCTATTGTAGACCTTAGATTTCAGGGTATTGAAAATTTTATTTCTTCTTTTGTCTTGTTCTTTAAAAAAATTAATTAGGTGATACCGTCATGTTTCTTAGTTTTTGGTTTCACATTTCCAATCCAGTTTACAAAACCGTACAATATCTGCAACAGATTCAAGAGAATTGACTAGTACAACACCGGATTTTATAGTGACCTTAATTTGTATCGTGAGTGGGTCGGCCGTAGTAGGCCTACTGAAAGAGAGGCTGCGTAGTGCGGCGTCGGCGGAGCGGTGAGGTAGCGGCGACGGCGGCGGCGGTCCATTGAGGCGGGCCGGGCGGCGCAAGTGCGGCGAGTGACGCGCGCCGCGCCTCGCGCACGCGCCCGACTATCGAGCGGCATGTGCCTCTCGCAGCCGGTCGACCGCTCCGCCCGACCGATTCACACTTTTTTATTTTCCCACCGAACGTAACCACCGCTGTGACATCCCCATTTTCACACAAAAGCCCGCTCGAAACGTGAACGCGACCACAACCCGCGCCCGGCGGGCCTCATCGCCATCTCCGCTGTTACGAGCCGTGCCCGTCGATACCAAAATGGCAGGACGAAGGGTCCAGGGCCGCGCGCGAGTCCGCCTCTGACCGAGCGGTGTTGTTCCCAGCAGTGTCTCGTTATATAAATGTTACGCAAGTTGATCTCGGAGTGGCCACGACGAGGTGCATCTGTTGTTCCACGAACTAAGTCCCGTGCTGTGTCCTGGAGCCCATGTAACCCGCCACACCACACGACTGCACTGTGAGTACCCTACATCCATTAGCTGCTCGCCAGCCCCGGCAGCCTGCAGCCAGTAGCTAGTAGAGCTCGGGGCTCGGGGCTGTGCAACGTAATCGCGACAACAAAGGTTGTAAAGCCAGTACTTGTTAATGGTAATCGCATTCCAGTTTCGCTTTTATCGATCGGATCGTTATCCGAGCGAGTGGAAATTGTTTTTGTATTTCCTCTCCGAATAAAGGGAGGTGTGATATTGTGGTTTAATGGGAAAATAACGAGCCTTGTGGTGCTCGAGGAGGTTGTAACA